AACGCAACAAAAATGGGACAAACATCAAGGGAGCGTGCAAATTATGAATGTTAATGAAGTTTAGGTTGCAATTTAGAATAAAAAATCTATAGGTTGAAAATCCCTAAAACAGGTTTAGTATAGATTATAAAAAACTATATACCCGATTGAAAACACATGCAGGACGTAAATTGAAAAGATTTTTTATCCATTTACATATATTTAGTTTTTGCGAGACCAACTAATGAGCGTGTATGCATAGAGCGGTGGGCACATGTTAATATGCCCACCATTTATGTGGTATGCACACATTGGTGATGTATTTTTTGAACATATTAACATCACCAATGTGTGTATGCCACATAAGCGGTGAGCATATTAATATGTGTCCACCGTGGATAGGGGAGCATTTTCCTGTATGCATATCAAATTCTTAAAAAACTTATTGAGACTTTAATAATTCTAATACATTTAATTTGAATTTCTTAAAACCTATAAAAGTCTTGAAGTAATCATTTGTGATCTCAAAGAACTATAACAAATATATTAACTTATTTCACTAATATTAATTACTATTTTTTTCAGTTTTGATGAGATTCAAAAACAAAAATCGTAATCTCGCCACAAACCCCACCTGCAAACTTAAAATTTTGCATTAATTTCTCTTATATTTCAAAACCTTAAAAAGTCAGCAAATCTTAAAAAAAAGTTTTAAAATGTTTCTTAAAACTCCAAACAAATACAATTAAGTAAAGATTTCACATGATAAGTGATAGTAAAACCAAAGTTCCTATTTGGGGGTGCTTTATGTCATAATAAGATTTCAAATCACCTGAATTTAGCGCAAATTATTTGCAATATCTTATCTATAAAAGATAGGATTCTTGTAATGTTATCAATCACCTTACAATGTGTCCAAGAAACAATCTATAGTAATGAATTAATATTGCCACTTATAGAATAAATATATATTCATAAAAGGCTAATTCACACCAAACTATTGCAATTATTTTGCCAACAAAGTGATAGTGAAGTTGTCACACATTTCAGTCACCTAAATTCAAAAATTGCCCACAAATTATTTTGCTTAAGTTTTATTTGCTTGAGTTTATATTGGTAGTTGATAGAGAAAAGATGACTACGTGAAATTGATAAATGATTTGATGGATACATTATTATTGAATTATTATTTTTTATACTACAAATAAGCCGCACCGAATTACACTGTTTGACTCGATTCTTCAGGTTATTTTCTTAAATTAAATATATTTGAGTTGGGTTTGTGCAAAACTTAACTTGACCTAAATCCAACCTAAAAAAAAAAAAAATTAGCAAAATCGTACCACAATACATACAAAGTTGAACATAATTTTATTTTAATTTTTTTACCAAAATAAATTAACCGAACCACGCTGAATTGTACGTTTGTATCTCAATTTTTTTGGATTCGGTTTTAATTATATAGCATTTAAGTTATTAAGAACACAAAAGCACAAAAGTATTGTCATTTTAGAATTTTGATTTATTTTTTGTGATTGAAATGAAATATGCAATGGATTTCATTAAGTAAAAATTGACTGGTAGTTTAATCCTATTAAGTATTATTAAGCATTAAGCATGTCTTGCAAGTGTGGCTAACCTTTTTATTGTTAATTTATTATTATTTCATCTCAATAAATATGAATTCCCATATAAATGCATACATAAAATGTAGTTTGCAGACTTGCAGGTCTGACTTTTATCTACCACTTGATTTATTTCAAGATTTTTTCAGAGCCATTTGTACAAAATTCTATAAAAATAGAATCTTTTGTTTCTTTGATTTGTGAAATTAAATTTATAGGTCAAAATTGGTGTTCGACCAAACGATCGATAAATGGCTTACAAAAGGGTAGTGGCAGTTACATATACGATTCCTCACTTACATGTCATAAGTCTAAGAGGACAATAAGTTGCAAAAATTGAATCTTTTGTTAGAAGACAGACGGTCTACAAAAGGATTACATGTCATAAGTCTAAGAGGACAATAAATTGCACAAATTGAATCTTTTGTTAGAAGACAGACGGTCTACAAAAGGATAGTGGACAGGCACATGCACGACTCTACTTGCTGGTCATAAGTCTAAGAGGGCTGGTTGCAAAAATCGAATATTTTGCTAGTATATATATAAATTAACGATTAGAAGAGGGGTTGTTGTCTCGATAGTCGATAGCTCTCGCCCACAACAAATAGGTAGTTTGGCGCGTGCTGGGGTGGTGGTAGGTGGGGAAAAATGTCTTCCCACGGCGACCCGGAGGCGGCGCAGGCACCCCTTTTGGCCCGGAAGCCGCCGCCTCAAGCGGCGGCGGCCGAGGCGCGGTGGTGGGGCAGGGCCATCGACGTGGAGGAGGCCAAGGGGCAGGTGCTGTTCGCGCTGCCGATGATTCTGACCAACGTCTCGTACTACTTCATCCCGCTCGTCTCGGTCATGTTCGCCGGCCACCTCGGAGACCTCGAGCTCGCCGGCTCCAACCTCGCCAACTCGTGGGCCGCCGTCTCTGGTTTTGCCCTCATGGTAACTTCAGGGGAAAGATAGTTTTTATTTTTTAGGTTGTTTCCATCATATTTGTGTCTGATTAATAAGTGCTAAATGTGTGTTCACTTTCTGTGGGATTTCAGGATTTATTATCAATCTGTGTTTAAGGATCTGTAGCCCATCAATATTCTTGTGTGTTGCGGTCTAACCGTTAGGCGGTCGAACCGTCATGCTTTGTTTTAACAAAAATCCACACACGGTGTGAATTTGTGGTACTTTTGTTTATGTTAGTTTTCAGAGTGTGGAATTTCCGATTGAAAGTACTTATATTTGCTCGAAAATCAGCCTCACTTATATAGGCCCTTGATGAACAAATGCAACATTTTGTATGTGTACCTTAACTGTTCCAAGAACTATTGCTATTTGTGGTTCATTCATTATGCTATGAATGTGAAAGTGAATATTCAGACAAACATATGCCCACATTTGGAATTGTGTCATGATACTGAGTGGTGAGAATGTAGTGGTGCTCTGTGCTTGCCTTTCTGTATTTGCACAATTATTTTCGAGTTTCTTGCAGTAAAATCGGGTGTAAGTTGAGTAAAAACGCCACCATTGACATTTACGAACCTAAATCCGTGTTACGACTTGCGGCAAAAGGTGGCGTTTTGCAAAGCACGAAGTGGAAATGTGGCATTTCTTCAAATATCCCTTAATTATCGAAAATTGAGTTTGTGTTTAACTGTGGTTGGTTATCATTTTCTCTCTTTGGAGGTGATGAGATAAACTATTCTTGTTCTGTTGCGATAAAAAAAATAAATAATTAAATAAATAAATAAATGTTAACCAAAATTCTCGACTAAATTTCTCTAGGTCGGCTTGAGTGGTGCTCTCGAGACGCTATGCGGACAAGGGTACGGTGCGAAAATGTATAGAATGCTCGGTATATACCTCCAAGCTTCTTGCATCATCACTATAATCTTCACGGTTATAGTATCCGTAATCTGGTGGTATTCAGACATTATTCTAACATTACTCCATCAAGATCCTCAAATTGCAAAAGCGGCCGGTCTCTATTTAAGGTATCTCATCCCGGGACTCGTGGCTTACGGGTTCTTGCAGAACATTTTGAGGTTCCTCCAAACGCAGTCCGTCGTGATGCCACTTGTCGTGTGCTCATTGGTCCCTCTGGCGGCCCACATCGGGATTGCCTACGGTTTGGTGCACGGGACTTCGCTCGCGTACAGTGGGGCCCCACTGGCAGCTTCGGTCTCGTTGTGGGTCTCGGTTCTTATGTTGGGTTTTTATGTGATTAAGGATGAGAAGTTTAATGATACATGGACCGGGTTTTCTTGGGAGTCGTTTGGCTATGTATACTCGAATTTCAAGTTAGCTTTGCCCTCAGCTGCCATGGTTTGGTGAGTGGTTCTTCTCTCATAGGTTTTAGAGCTACAAAATTTTGGAGATACTATAATTTTTGGTAACTGGTCTTTTTTATGCACGTGCGATTCAAGATTAGTATTTACTAATATTTCATCTTTCAAATTTACAGTCTTGTTGGATTGGGTTTGATATTTTTCATACTTTTATGTATTCAGTTAAGTAGAAGGGTAGAATTTCGGACTTTTGCAATTTTACCTTAGGGCTGCAAATGAATCGAGCCGAGTCGAGCATGGAAATTGTCGAGCATAGATCAATTTTTTTATTTCAATGCTCGAGCTCGACGAGCCATGAAAATGACGCTTGAGCTCGACTTGCGAAACAAATGGAAATGCTCGAGATCGACTCGATGCTCGAGATCGGTTCGATGCTCGAGTTTGGCTCGAATTTTAACAACTATAAATTATGCACCAATTATAACTTCGCGAATTAATATATATAAAGGGTATTTAAGTATTTTATTGCATATTCGAGCGGCTTGATCTTTGAAAATTTGGGCTAAAGATCGACTCGATAACATACTCGAGCCGCTCGAACTTGAATCGAGTTTGGTCAAACTCTAGCTCGAGTCGAGCTTTGACTCAAGCGCTTTACTCATTTGCAGTCCTAACCCCATCTAAGCTGAACGTAACACTTATGTGTCGATTTTTCTTATTTGATACGAACACAAAAGGTGTATGATTTTTTCCATTTTTTTTCCCTTTTTATGCGGGCTATGGCTTGATGAAATTACATTGTCCATTTTGTCATTGTGGACCAGCCTCGAGTATTGGGCTTTTGAGATTCTCGTGTTGCTAGCCGGGTTGATGCCGAACTCGGAAGTTTCAACTTCATTAATTGCAATGTGGTAAGATATATATTCTACTGTTTATATTTCTACCCTTTAAGTGTTCTTGTTAAGGTTTGTGATCAAAGCTGTAAAATTATATTTACAGTGTAAATACAGAAGCCATCAGCTACATGGTCGCTTACGGTCTCAGTGCTGCTGCCAGGTACCGAAATGCAACGAATTAGTTTTACGAATTTTTGGGTGAATTACGAAAACTTCGCACAACGTAATACGGACGTAGCCTTGTAAATTTCGGAATTACAAAACCACCCCTCCAGGTTTTGCTACCATATCACATAATGAATCAACTGTTTGTAGTATCTTTACAAGTTTAAAAAGGAGGGAACTTTTGAATTTTATTATTATTATATTTTTTTTTTTTTGGTTAAAAGGCATGAGGGGTAGTTTTTGTAATTCACCATGCAACTTTTCTAAATCACTCAGGACTTTATTTTGAGACATTTTGAGATTTAGGTGGTATTTGGGATGAGATTTCGCATAAAGTTTTTGTTTGGCAATTCTCAACAAATCTTAAAGTCATGGTAAATTTCAGTGTCAAATAAGTTAAATATCTCGTAATCGATTAGTTAAGATTTTTTTAAATTTCAAATGAATACCTCAGGACTTTTAAAAATTCAAATCTAAATATAATGCACCAGACTCTTAAATTCCCAGCAAATCTTTATGTATCCCAAAGGAATACACCCTAATAAACCCGGTTGATTTTTACTATTTTCAGCACGAGGGTGTCGAACGAGTTGGGTGCGGGATATCCCGACCGGGCCAAACGGGCCATGGCCGTCACTCTTAAACTGACCTTCCTTCTCGCCCTTTGTGTCGTCTTGGCACTGTCGTTGGGCCACAACCTGTGGGCCCACAGCTTCAGCAACAGCCCCATCATCATCGAAGCCTACGCCTCCATGACACCGTTTCTCGTTTTATCCATTTTGTGCGATTTCGTTCAAGGAATCTTATCAGGTTTGTCGAAATTTACTAAATGAAAAATTTTATCAAATAATTGATTGAGCTTACATTTGTTTCGATCTTCCAAGTCATAAGCTAGTTTCTATAGATAGGTTTTCGAAAGAACATATTGAAATTTTTTACAGTTGACGTGTATCAGCTATGTTTATCAAATATTTTTTATTGTATTAACTAATTTTTTCTGGCATAAGCTATCGGCTATAAGCTCGAAATGTCGCGTACTAACCATCGACTAAATTATCGACTATAGCTATTTTTTTTATTTTTTTTTATTTTTTATCTAGATTTACAAACACACACTAAATGAAATGAAAATTTTACTAGGGGTGGCAAGAGGCTGTGGCTGGCAGCATTTGGCAGTGTTCATCAACTTGGGGACATTCTATTTGATTGGCATGCCCATTGCTGGGCTGCTTGCTTTCAAGTTGGGCCTGTATTCCAAGGGATTATGGATTGGGCTGATCTGCGGACTGTTTGTCCAGATGTTGGGCCTCTTATTGCTCACAAAGTTCACAAAATGGACAAGGGTGGAGTTTTCTAATGGGCCTTGATTACTTATTTTTGTAGCAGACCTGAGTTAAATCAAATGAATTAAGACGAATGAATTGTGTATTCATATTTTATATATATTTTTTTTTTTTTTTCAGCGAGTTTGCGCCATGTTGTCATTGATAATATGGAAATAAATAAAACATAATATGATTTATATTACTTGTTACCTCCATTTTTTTTTTGTTTAATTTTGTCAGCATTCTTTACATTACATACAACAATTAATAGCTAATCACTCTCGCTCTTCTGGCTGTGATAGGTACGAATTAATACGTTAGTCAGCTGATAAGGCGGAAGATTGACATATCACACGATTCACACCACACACAGTTGTTATGACATTCAAATATCGTGACACCTTCTCACGTGTTTGGTAAACACACTTTAATATCCACAAAGTGTGTTTATGGATCTTAAGTATGTCTAATGGTTAGACAATCATATTTTTTTAATACAGACACCTAATTCCAAACTAGAAATGTCATATTTTTAAGAAAACCTAAACAAAGTATGACATTGCATAACAAAGGTATGCATTTTCTTTAAAAACATATGATGAATCAACTCATCTAACCATTCAGCCGTCTCAAATAAGAATTTGTGCCATGACGTTTCATAACAAAAGTATGCATTTTCTTTAGAAAATATGATGAGTCAACTCGTCTAACCATTCAGCCGTCTCAAATAAGAATTTGTGCCATTTCAATATTCTTTCGCATAAATCGTTGAGCCTCTACATTCTTGCCAAGTGTGCATCTCCATCTCAAGGACTAAAAAAAAAAGAAAAAAAGAAAAAGAAAAAGAAACTCAATTAGGGATAAAACCTAAATTTATTAGCCAAACATGAAACTTTATTGCCAAGATTTATTACTCTCTCTTGCATATTTTTTTTTTGCAACGGTAAACTCTACACTAATCCTCCTATAAATTCCCATTTTCATTTACACCATTTTTTGCATGCACATAATTCTTTTATTACTTCTTATTCTATACATCAGTTTCAATCCTTCTCCTTTAATTTTCCCTTTAATTTTTCTACAAAATATCTCTACATTTTTATCTTCTTCCATAGGTGAAAGAAAACAAAAAAAAAAAAGGGTCTCTTTAGATTTTCCTTGGTATTTATTTTTCGCCATGGCTTGTCGTACGATTTGTTCGGTTCTAATGTTTTTCGTGTTATTTTCGTACTCTTCGAATGGGTTTCGATTCAATGTTGGGGGCAAAGATGGATGGAAAACAAACCCTTCTGAGAGCTACAATCATTGGGCTGAAAGATTGAGATTTCAAGTTAATGACACTCTATGTAAGTTTCTTGTTTTCAAGTTAATGCAAGTTAATGATCTAACGGTTACAAATTTCGACGGGATGGTCCCGTAACGGGATTGTAGAATCTCCCATTATTTTATACACGATTTTGCATTTTCTGTAGTTTTCAAATATAAGGCTGGCTCAGACTCGGTGCTGGTGGTAAACAAAGACGATTATACCCTCTGCAACACCACAAACCCTATAGTAAAATTCGACGATGGAAAATCAACCTTCAAATTCGAACGATCTGGGCCGTTCTTTTTCATCAGCGGCAACAAATCCAGCTGCGGCCGCGGCCAGAAGCTCGTCGTCGTCGTCCTAGCCGTCAGGAGCAGTCGCCCGCCGTCGCCGCCGCCGGAGGCTCCGTCGCCAACCCCACGGGTCGGAGAGGCTCCGTCACCTGCCAGCTCGCCAGCTGAGGCTCCGGCGCCGGAGGACGGACCGTCGGCGAATTCTACGCCGGCGGCGCATCCGCCGCGCCGCTCGTTTGCGGCGACGGCGGCAGGGTGGGGGCTCACGGCCGTGATGGTGCCGGCGGTTTCGGCTGTCATAAATGTCTGCTTGGCTGTGTGATTTGGGTTTTAATGGAATTATTTATTTCTTTTTTATTATTATTATTATTATTCAGTTTTTAATTTAGGGGTTTTATTAGGAATGTTTTGTGGGGGCGTTAGTTTGTGTTATTAGTGGTCATTCACATTTATGAGTATGATTTAAAGTTGGGATTTATGAATTGTCTAATAATTGTTGTTTAAAATGTTTCATATTTTGTTAGTTTGTTACTTTGTTTATTCATTAAAATTAATTATCTTGAGCTAAAAGCCTAAAAAAAAACATTTTATTGGGCAAAATGTGTCGTGTTATAGGGCAAGGCTATAGTCCTGTTACGGGTATCATTCCATTTTGGAATTTGTAAATGTTAGATGCACATCTATATTAGTGTAGCATGTGCATCTGACGTTTACAAATCTCAACGGAATAGTAACAGAATTGTAGTATTTTCCCATGTTATATTATGTTATTAACTATAGAAAGTAAATAATTGAGTGATTTTGAGTGTAAGGTCAATCTTTTTGTGCTAATGATATTGACTTTTCCTTTTGTATTGATATCAAGTATACACACATATTATGTTAATTCTTATTTTATCCATAACTTACTCATTATTAATCCAATTTTAGTGCATTATATTTAGAACTAATTGTGCTTACAATATAAACAAGAATTAAAAATTTAATTTTATTTAATTATCTATTTAATAACTTATCACAATTGGAAGTGTAAATTACAATAAGCGGTGGCTATGCTATACCATTAATATCTATAATTTAATTGCATTTCAGTTAACTTTACCAACACATTCTACAATTTACCTACGTACGTATTTTCATGGATGTTCATTTACAAATTATAATTTGTAACATTATGAAATATTACATTACACAATAGAAAAATAGAGAAAATAGATAAATAAATAAATAAAAATAATTTTATTTTTCAAAAATAATTCGACTCGACTTCTTTTGAAAATTACAGGGCCAAACAAGCCAAAAGCAATCAATCGAAATAAATACATAAAATTGTCCATTTCCTATCAAGCAATAAAAATATGCTCATGAGGAGACCTTATTTTTTAAAAGAAATATAAAAATAAAAATAATATACGGTCTTGAAAATTTTTATAAATAAAAATCAAAATAAAACTAATAAAACTAGATGTCATTAGACCATAAAGGCCACGCAAGTCTTTGTGATAATATTTGACCTATTTCACCTAGACGATAATAACACAATAATATCAAGATTGTCATCAAAGATGTTAAAACTGAGGAGCAAAACCACCGGAAGAAACAAATAAACAAGAGCTTAGTACAGAAACAATTACATACAAAAAAAATAAAAATAAAAATACAAGATGAGCCCTTTTGATGCAATTATTTCAACTAGACACCAGGTCTTGATTGTTTAATTTCCCTCGTAACTCTCTCCAATAATTTCGATTCTAGCAGCACTCGGGCATACTCGCGCTGTGCTTCTCGTACTTGTTCCGTGAGACGCGACAACTGTTTAGACAAGAACATTACTTTTAGGTCGAGTCAAAGTTACAAACAGTACTTTTATTTCTGTCGAGCTACCAAATAAAGCACTTGTTCTTACCTTCAGATCGAGTTCTTCGTTCGACTTCTCAAACTCATGACACCTAAATACAAAAACAGATGGATATGAGGGCTTAAGTCGAAGAGCTTATAGCTATCGTCATATAATTTAGTACAAGATAGGTGGCTCTGATCCTTCATATGAGTTTGAAACAGCTATTGTAGGCAGTGAACTAAGGATTTTATCTTTCAACAAGTCAAATTTTCATGATAAAGACTTACTGGGCACGGAGACTTCGATTTTCTTCAATTATGCTAGCAGCTTCTTGGTCATTCAACTGTTTTGCAGGATCAATAGCATGCAACATAAAAATGAGATAGATTATCAAAAAGACAATTCTTGACTTGGCACAAATATTTTCTAACAGTTCTATTAAGAGTATCGATAAATGACAAAATGGAAAAAAAATAAAAAAAGAGTCCTTACATTTCCACCAGAAACAGAGTTAGATTTGCTGGAGCCAATGACTCCTACCCTCTTCACCCTTCCAGGCACCACAACATGGTCATGTCCTTTCCTCTTGAAAGCTGCTCCTATCCAACGATAGTGCAAATATATTCTTAAGTTAAAAAACAAGCAGCATATCATATATATATATATAGATATAGGGGCTGGTTCAAATAAAAACTAGTGTTGGTGTAAGAACGTATTTGATGCTATTTTTAATATTAGATGATGCTATCATTTTCACAAATGCTAATATAAATTGTGTTGCCATATTTAATAAAATTCATCCGGGTTAAAAATAGCACCAAACACAATCAATCATAGCACTACGCACAATTAAAAATAGCAGTTCTCACACTAAGACTTGGTTCTCGTTTGAACCACATCCTATATATATATACTCGGCCTCAATATATTGACTTACCGAGAGAATTTTGATGACCAGATGGTAAGGACCTCCCAGATTTTGTCCCCATGGGATTGGATGGGACATCTATTTCACGCATTTTAGCTCCGGCTGCAAAAGATGGTTTTGTGCCTGTATCTTTGCCCAGCACAACTGGTTTATATATACTGTGGCTAAGCCCAGAACTGGAGGCCGCTTTAGGCATCATGCCCGGTCGAGGTGCTTTCTTGACTTGATACCCAAGGAGTCCACAATGATAATCCCTGCCAAACTTCAACAATGCTTATATGAAGATAAATGTGTGATTGCACCATTAGCCATGATGTACAAAGATTTACCTTCAAACAAGAAAGCTATTGTACCTTGCTTATCAAATATTTCAAATAAAATCATACTGGCTAGAATATGAAAATAATCGATAAGCAAGGGGCAAGGAAATAATAGATACTGTCGAAATTGGCTCATACTTAAGCTATATTCCATTTGTTGTTTAATCAAATTAATCACTAACCAGTATTCTTGCGTCATTTCTTTCAGGCGGGTTTCGAGCTTTTGGAAAACTGAAGTCTTCTCAAACTCCTGTTTGTTGTGGGTAGGCTCAATAAAATTTGCTTCTAAAACGCCTGTCATCCATGCAGTATTAGTGACATGCTGATGCAATCAGGACGAAAGAAGTAAAGAGAGAGCAATGGAGATTTTACCCACAACACCTCTGCCTCGGCTGTCAGAATACGTTACGACATGCCAAAAGGGCTGCGTGGTAATAGACAGTTACAAGGATGTAAGATAAAGGTTCAAATAAAATATAAACTATGTAAAATGTCATTATTAAAATAATCCTCTGATATAATTTTTCCCCCTTTTTGAGAAGGGCAGAGGTAGGACCAATTTTTAGCCATCATGTAGCAAAAAGTTCAGTAATAGCTTGCTAAACTGAAGTTAGCAGAAAAGGATATTGTTATATTCCAGGAAGGTGTTCTCACTAAGGAAGAACAACTAACCCCACTTACGAATCTACATTAAATAAAAAATTCTGGCAAACAATACTAAGAGTCAAGAGTGATGAATTAAAAGCAGTCACCAGTATCAATCTATTTTTGTGGTAGACATTAAAGCCATGAATATTAACTGCTGGAGCTTCCTTCAGAAAGCCAATTGTTGTCAGGACCGAACCCTGCACAATCAAGAAAATTCTGATAAAGTCCATATAATTGAGGTTACTCTTATATGTGTATGTGCCGCTTGGTATTGTTTGTTTTTATGAGGTCTGTACCTATGTGTTTCTTATCTGCCTACTCTTAATGCTAGTGGTATGCGTGCAATATGAGAAATTCTTATTTTTGACAATGTGCAATTTTGATTTTGAAAGTAATGAATTCTTTTAGTTTGATAATCAATCCAGTATACAAATACCATGTGGTAACACTCATCCTTTAGAAGAGTGTCGTACTAGTTAAGATCCATTTACCTCTCACGGTATTCAGTATCCAGTCCCCATGTAATCATACATAATCCAATCTAAATTAAAGTTTCCAATTTCTCATGAACCCTTCCCCTTGAGGAAAATATGTTCAAGCTAAAATAACCTCAAAACAGGATACAGATACAAAATCATGAAAACCCTGGGATAGTGTTACACCGGATAAAGCGGGAGTTGGTATTGTTGTTTATAGAAAAATAATTCATAGAGTCTGGTTCTAAATTACTACATTAATGTTTGGTGAAATAATTCTAACACGAAATGTTATTTAACAATTAAACACAACCACAACATATAAAAAATATCTGAAAATCGAAGGGAAAAAATTTTCAAAATGTGAATGATAAAATATCATAATATTTAATAACACTTATTTTATCATCATTATATTTCTGAAAACACATAAAAATAAATTAATATATATATATATATATCATAAAATACACATTTTACAAATTTTAAAGGAAAATTCTCCTTATAAAAAACTAGGATCCATAACCCAAGTACCCGATTATCCTCTATAGACCATATATAATAAGCTATAAGGAGCTAATTGGGAGCCTACACAAGGAACTAACTGGGGTAAATTGGTTAACAACTCGCACAGTCTGTTCTTGGCCACAATTGTTAGGGAAACACCTCCAAACATATTTTCACTGCCATCGTGTACAACATGCATAGTGAAAATAATCTATCACGGATCATCACTTCCAAACCTACACACAAAGTACCGTATTCCGATACAAGCATCCCTATAATTCAAATATATGTATTCAAATAGTACAAATGCAAATATCTTAATGACAATCAAGTTTTAAAAATCTTGAAAGGTGCTAAGCTTCCGTTGGATGCTGACTGCATTTATCTTTCAGTTAGGTCCAATCTAATCCTATTTATACCAACATATCCACTTAGGTTCAAAGACCAGCTTAACATACCTAGCCTCCAGGAAAGTTATGCCATTTACACGAACAATGATCGAAACAACACCATATGAGCCTATACTTTTGGAGATGTATGTTTTGTCTGCTAAGACTCTCTAAAGCAAAAATTTACTTGTGATATGGGTGCACTATATTGACCTCTATTCAAATCATAATCAAATCAATCTCCTCAATCATCCTTCGGTAAAACAAAACCCAACCTACATGTATGTTTTTGTGCTCACGTGCTAGCTAAATCTTAAGTAGATTAGTGTCTACAGTGCATCCATGTATGTGAATCTATATGGAAAAAAAATCATATAATATTTGAAGCAATCTATGAACTATCCTTTGCTAAAACGAACCCTTACCTCTACGTTCTGAGGTCGGTACAATATAAATTCAGGATATTTGAGATCATTTGCAATGTTATGATACTCAACAGCTCGTCCACGCAATAATATGCAGAAGTTCTCTGGAGCTCGTAAGTATAAAATTGATAAATATGCCTGCGAAGACCAATTATCAGTTAAAAAATAAGAAAAAATAAATAAAATTTTATCTAAGCATCTATACAAGAATTTGTTTTCATCAAATAATTAGGAAAGGTATCTTATATAATCAGTAGCATCATATATGCATCACATAACATATGAGTCTTGTTTGCAATAAACAAGCAGTCCTAGATCTCACTGCCCTATCAAATCCACAGTACAAAATAACATGTTGAGAGATAGTAGCTTTGTCCGCAGAGTGGTGTTCACAGTGAACAGATAGAAGACTCATTCACAAAGTCTCTGTGAGTAGTGAGTACTAATAGCTCACGTGACAAGCTTGACGCATGCAATTTAATGTACTGTACATGCAGATGATTATTTCTAACACACATTACCACTCCTCCCTGACCCAACTATTTTCAACCTCACGTCCTTGCAATAATTCTTCGAGTCCGATCCTTCACACATGAAGGAGTGTGCTGATAGTATGATTTGATACTCAGTGTTTTTACTCGATACCATGTATTTAGAGGTCAGTTATACTGAATGCCACGTGATAGGGAACTGTATCTTCAGATTCCAGAGTAATTCCTAATATATCTCTAGCCTATTCCTGAATCTATGAGTCGACAAGTGACCATGGTATAGAAAATAATCACATGAATAACTGTAGCTGAAATAAACTTACACGTAGTGAATAGTGAAGACGGTTAGCAAGATGATTTTCATTTGGGTCCTTCCGAGGAACACCTTTTGCAGTAGTAGTGTGACCTTTACCAGATAAACGAATATCCTGATGCCATTTAATTAAAGCCCATATCAAAACTGATACAATATGTTCCATAATTTTTCCTTTTTTTTATTGTGGGGTAATTTTTGCAGTAAATCCAACAATGCAGAAAATTAGAAACCAACAAAAACCTCCGTATCTGTCTCAAAATCAAGTTCCATTTTTCCTTCATCGTTTTGCCACAAATTGTAAACAATTATCTTGGTACCATGGGGGCCTATGTCATCACACTGCAACACAAGAATAATGTGTGCATTAAGTTCACAAGGTGATAATAAGGCAAAATGGAAAATGAATTTCTCCTGAAAAGAGAAATGCAGAAGCCAAAAACTCACAAGAGCTATGCAAAAAGTTACAAAATGTGAAAGCTATACTCACATGCTTCAGAAGTTCGGCTTCTGTGGTGACTGGAGCCCACTTCAACAAAATAGAAAGATTATTCTTATGTTGTTCTTCACTGTGTAATGTTTTCCATGTGCTACTACCTGCGTCAAACATGTAATCAACCTGAAAGAAGAGGGAGAAATTTGATCATTTAGGTATGTCTAGAGGAAATTAAAACATTATAATATGAAAAAAACTGCCTTTATAATCATCCTAAGAAAGGTGGAAAGAACCCAAAAAGGCAGCAACTGTCCATGGAAACAATACATAACCAAACTCTAGAGGGAATTAAATTAAATTAATACCTTAAACA